TCTGTTATTTTTAATTATTTTGAATCAGAGTTACTGAGATGGGCTTACAAACAGCCATAGAGTCATTGGGAAAGTACTGTAGGTTCCAATTAAAGATTGAACTGCATAATACCAATGTGGAGAACTTTTCAGGTTTGAAATTTATCAACCACCTCCACACCCCAAGCATACTCACACTCACATGCATAGCTGAAGTCAAACCACTTTATTCTTTTGTGCAGAAACTTCCATTGCCCACCGCCCTCCATTGCCTAAGGATAAAGTTCAAACTTCTTGGTTAAAGATTCTCTTCAAAGGCTAATCAGAATAAGGGAGGAGAAGTGGAAGTTACCAAAATAAGTAAAGAGGGGTAAGTACATTTCAGGAAGAGAAGATGATGCAAGTACAAACAGTGAGGCATAAAATAACATTGTGTGTAGATGAGAATTATAAGTAGTCCTTGACAGTAGAATATAAAATGAGAAGTAAAAAGTGGTAGGGATTGAAACTAGAAAGTTCATACAAGCGTGAGGGAGAGAGGGACATTTGTATGTCATGTTGAAAAGCTTGGAATATATCATGCAGAGATATGAAACCCTTAGCAAGTGTTGAGTGTTGGGGTTCAGGATGTGCTACCCCAAATTATGGTACCTTGGCCTTTGAGAAAACAGTAGAAGCAGGAAGGTAACTCTCACCTTCCCTCCATATTTCTACCCTGAAGCAGGTCATAAAACTCATTTGGCAGGGGCACCCTCTGGACCCAGAGGAAAGGAATACCCATACCTCTAAAGATACAAGTCACTGAGAGAAATCTGACTAAAAGGCCTTGCTGAATTCTCCCAAGTTTAGATTATACTTTTGAATCTCATCACACTTCTCAATGACTATCCACTTCTCCACTAAACCTAGCATTAAGTACTCCTGTTTCCCTGGGTCTTCCTTATCTTATGTAAAACTTATATTAAATAAATGTATGTACTTTTTTCTTTTAATATGACTTTTGTTATAAAGTCTTCAGTCATAAACCTAAGATGGGAGGGAAAGATATGACTTTTCTTCAATCTATATAACCAATGAAATGGAAGGAACAGATCTTGTATTTTGGATACATTATCCAGTAGCAAGATGAAAAGTGGACTTAGAGGCATAAATCTGGGGGGCAGGAAATAAACTGGGAAGTTACTGCAATACTTAATAATAAGATGAAGGGAACTTAGTCCAGCAAAGAGGTGTACAAATAGAGAGAAGAGGTAGTTAAGAATATTTTGCATTCAAATAATCAGGCTTTCTAAGTGACTGGATATGGGTGGCCATATCTACCCATAGAATAGAAAAGCACGTTTATAGTTAATAGAGGCATTATGGTGAAATGATTATGTTTGGACATGCTGGACTAAAAGGCCTGTAGTCTAAACAAGTGGAGATATTCAGCAAGTAATTAGATTCATGAGTCTGAAATTCAGGAAAGGAATATGAGCTGAGTTGTACTCTTAAAAGTCAGTAACATGCAGATAATAGTTAAAGCCATCAAAGTAGGTGTCAGTAATTGGAGTGATTGTGTAGAGGGAAAAGAACAATGAGTTAATGATGGAACCCTAGGGAACATCAGTTGTTAATGATCTAGATTAGGCAACAGCAACAACTTAAAAAAAACAGAAATGGTGTTTAAGTAGGTCAGAAAAACCTGTTATAACATGGCTGGTAGAGGAGGAAACTCAGGATGTTAGTGTACAGCATAAAAGCCAATAAATTGAGCAGAAATGTTTGTAAAATAAGGACTTGCAAGTGATCATTAGGTCTGGCAGTATGGTGGTCACAGGTATCTAATTTAGTTAGAATAGTCCCAATAACATGGTAAGGGTGTCAGTCAATTTGCTTTTATGAATCAAGTGTGAGAAAGATTTTTTGTTTTGCTTTGTTTTGTTTTCAAAGAAGGATATATTTGACTTACTCAAGAAAACCGAAAAAATAGATGAGATGAAATTAACAACAATAGGATTTAGCTTTGTCTTTACATTACAGATAGGACATCCTTGAGATAACAGACAATAGATGGAATATGCACACCTTTCATATGAAATACACAAAAAGCCCATCAGTCATTCCTTGATTTTCTCTAGGTTATAATAATAATTCTGAGAAAGCTACTGCATCTTGTAAATATTATCTTCTTCACTGTTAGGTAAGCTTCAACTCATGCATCAAGATTAAACTTTCTGAGATTCTCCAGGGTTAGTCACACCCTACCCCATCCTTTTCCACAATACTTTGTTCATTCTTCACCCAGTACTGAGATCACTGGGTTGTTACCTGTTTACATGCTTTTCTCTCACTAGTTTGTAAGTTTCTTGGGAAGTTAGACAATATCTTTGTATTGTCGATCCCTATTACATTTTCTGGCACAAACCAAGGACTTAATTTGTTAATTAATTTCTACTTGAAAATCTCAGACATCTCTAACTGACCTTGTCTAAAATTAAACTATTGATCTTTATGAAATAATGTATTTATTGATCCAGCCTTAAAAACAGAACATTTGTCAGCTTTCCTTAACACCTTCAGCATTTAACTTATCTGTGTGCTTTGTTGATTTTACACCAAAGTCCATCTCAAATCTTTCAGTGCACTCTTTAGTTCAAAACGCTAAAAATTTTTGTCTGCAATGACCCAACTTGTCTCCCTCTTCTACTTTCCATCCCTCCCCAAATTATTTTCCATCACGGTAACTGAAGTAGTAACTGAAATATATATCATACTAAAATTTCCTGCAATTGTTTTTCATTATCTGAATAATAAAACACTCAGATCCTGAATACATTGTCCTAGGTTGTATAGAATCTATCCCCTGATACTTTTTTGGTCTCTTCATACACCTTTCTCCCATCTGTTTATCCTTACACAGACCTTCACTTGTGGTTTCATCAGTCAGAAATTTCCCTCTCATCATTATTTGCTAGATATTTATATTTATCATTTAGGTCTCAACTAATTTTCCCTTCTTCAGAGAGATCTTTTATGACCACAAATTTAAATTAAGAATTTTCTAATATTTTCATATTTTTACTCCTGTTATTCTACTTCATATACAACGTGTCCGTGTTTTTATTTATGTGTTTTTTGTGATCTTTTCTCACGAGAACATAAAGTATCTAAGACTGGGATAGAGGGACCTAGTAACGTAGGAATCCTTTTTGTTTTTTACCTTAATTTCTCCAGCACCTAATATTATAATGAAGATAGTAATAATAAAAGATGTATCTGTTGAGTAAATGAAAGAGCAGACTGTGTTTGTTGAGTAAATGAAAGAGCAGACTGTGTTCATTTTGAGTAGCACAATCTATAAAACTTGGGACAAAAAGTTACATCTATATGTACAGTCACAAGGTGCTAAGCCATGCAAGTTAGCTGAACATGAAAGACAGTTTTTCATTTTAACAACAATCCAGTTTGAAGTCAGAAAAAAAGTGTAAAGAAATAGTATAAAGGAAATATTCACAATATTGCTCCTCATCCCCACCCAAGAAAATCAATCATAATATACATACAAATGTGTGTGTGTGTATATATATATATTTTTTTTTTCTTTCTTTCTTTCTGGCATTTTTACTGTGTGTGTCCGTGTGTGTGTGTGCAGTTTACCTTTTCAAAAAAAACCAGTCTTGGGGTTCAGTATTGAGTCAACTCTGGGGATGACAGAATGAATAAAAACATCAGAAAACTCAGAGTTAAATGGTGAATAATGGATTCAAATGATATCACAAGGTACTTGGATGTTTTATTAAATCAGAATTTTTTTAAGATAAGGAATACACCAAAATAAAAATACAGAAGTAAAGACACTCCCTTTATCTTAAAGTACTTCATTATTTATTGAGGGAGGTATACATGTCAACACTAAAAAAAAAAAATGAATTATCTGGAAAGTCAAGGATCACAAGATATTTATAACCAGGCTTTTGAAACAAGCTCATCAATTACCATGGATAACTATTCCTTCTGTGAGAAGATGCAGTCTGACATTGATAACCTTATAGAAATTTTGTACTAAAGCCATTTGAATTCTAACATTTCCTGACAACCTGACATACCATATTGTAGGCCCTCTGCCTGGAAGGCTCTTTTCTCTTTTCCTTGCAAACTCAGCCTAATCAATCCCCTCATTGTGCTTCCATGACCATAAACCTATGTTCTTTTATTATACTGTAATCATATTCTTATTTTTTACCTCCCTCAATAAATCACGAAGCACTTTAAGATAAAGGGAGTGTCTTTACTTCTGTATTTTTATTTTGGTGATAGAAAGATAGGCATATGTGCATTTAAAAATGTTTATTGAAGAAAAGTTGGAAGAAAGGATAGAAGGAATCATATTCTATTTTTGCATTATAGAGATGAGAAATGACTATGGTAAACACAATGGCACATTCCTTACCATCTTTCAGAATAAAGAACCAACATTCAAAACAAAACAAAAAAGAAAAAAAGAAAATAAACAAGTTGAGTCGTCTTGTCCTGTGCCACCAATACTTGAAAACTTATTAGTTGGCCCTTCATGGTTTCAAGTAATGAAAACCATCGAGTAGCAGAGAACTTTAGATGAACTTCTGTCCAATTCCATGTGGATATTTTGCTTTTGTGTATACTCTAAAATATTTTGGTCTCTTTCTAGGTAAAACTTCTTGCTCGCGACTTCAAATCACACATTTGAAGGGGGCCCTGCTTAGAAACTGCTGAGAACATCCTGGGGATGGACGGAGAATACCCAGTTGACAACCTGGGAATTCTGATCAAATCTGGCAGTTAGGACAGGAATATAGGCAGATCTTTTGCAGGGATATAAATATTTTCATAATTAGCACATGCTTTAGGAAAGTTTCTTTTCCCAAGGGAACTCTCTGTTCTATGAACAAGGCCACTCAAGATGAGAAATACTTGGGAATGTGTCGCCCACCCCCATGTCTGTGTGTTTTTTCAGTTGATTTTTGAGTAATGTACATGTGTTACCATTATGGTAGATGTACCTGTAAGATCATCAGTGGGCCAGGATCCCAGCTGGCACGCCTTGCAGGTGTACTCATCAAAAACATACTCATTCTCTTTACAAGGTGTGCAGGTCCAACAACAGCTGACTTCTCCCTTCCGGATCACCTAAGGCAAATATTTAAAATTTTCATTACTTTTTGCATAAAAATCCTACAATCCCTTATTCGAGTGTACTGCTTTGCAAAGTAGAAAGGGCTTTTGCATTTATTATTTTACATGTTAACAGATAAGCAATATAAGTATTAATATTCTTATTTCATAATTTTAAAAATAGGCTGAATTTAAACAATGAGTCCAATACCAAAATGTTGGTTTATGGGAGGGTCAGAATTAAATTAAATGCAAGTCTTTAAATAATTAGCTTTGGATACATGTATTTAATTAAGTACCCGTGTTTGTGGTCATATATACATACACAAGCATTTACATATGTGAATATATAACTGAATCTTCCCTAGGATTTGTACCTCTCCTTAAGAACTTTTGCTCTCTGGATTTACCTTGGCTTCCTTCCCTCTACTAGTAGAATAATTGTGAGCAAGAAGCATTGTGTGTCTTCTAGTGTTCAAAAATCTTTCAATATTGATAAAAAACTCATTAAGAAAATGTATTGAGCAGGAAGGCAGAGATAGAAGATGAAGTTTTTGGGAGATAATCTCTGCTCTCTTTTACTAAAAATCTGGCTCAATTATTCAGCCCATTCCTTCCTATTTTAGTTGTTTTGTTTTGCTTGATATGATGGTAGATAAGGTCACTGAGACTATTATAATATACTTCTTCATCCACTTGGTTTGTTAAGTCAATGGAAACTAATTGAAATAGTTTTAACAGTTGAAAGAATCATAGATGTTATTCTTTAAAAGTGGATGTACCCTCCCCCCCTCACCGGTTCATGAATAGCCTCTGTGGAATAGAGACAGCATTCACTAGTCATTCTTTTTTTTTTTTTGAGTTGGAGTCTCACTCGGTCACCCAGACTGGAGTGCAGTGGCCGCTCCTGGCCACCGCAGCCTCACCTGCTGGGCTCCAGCGATCCTTCCGCCTCAGCCTTCCAAGTAGCTAGAATTACAGGCATGCGCTACCACGCCCGGCTGACTTTTTGATTTATTGTAGAGATGAGGTCTTGCTGCCCAGGCGGTTCTCGAACCCGCGGGCTCAGACAATCCACTCACCTCAGCCTCCCAAAGGCACGGGATTACAGACTGAGCCACCGAGCCCGGCTACTAGTCATTCTTATACATGTTAGAACTGTGATTAAAAGTCAGCAGTAACTAGACAGCAATGATTACACTTTATTCTTTGTCTTAGATGCTGACTTTATTAATGACCTTATATAATTGTAAGCTATTGCTCGTGAGTTCTACTTAATCTAGCTAAAATGTTCTTCATGATAAGATTGACTTTTTATAGGCTACTTTGGGCATGGCATATGCTGTTATCCCATTAAAACATTAGGGCAGCTCTGTATGAGGTGACTGGTTTTATTTCATTCAGTTTTAGGGGAGAAATCTAAGGTTCTATTAGTTCACATAGCATGTAAGTGAGGAATCAGATATTTTATGCTGAAATTCAAATGCCACTCACATAAATATTGAGCATTACTAAAAGGATAACTTCATGATATTTTGAAAGATGTAGGGGAAATATTGCTGGCTTGGAAATCAAGAGGCACCCGGGATTCTGGTCTCCTTGATAGCTATTAAGTAGTTGTGTAGTCTTGAACAGTCCTATAGCTCATGTTCAGTTTCTTCAAACTGAGCCCATTGCTTTTACAATAATAATACAGTCCTTACCTTGCAAGGCTTCCTGAGGAGTAGATAAAGGATCACAGTGATTTGCAAAGTGTAGAATACTCTAAGGATGTTACCATTTAAAAAATAAATAAAATTTAAATTCTCATATGGAAATGAAGAATTTCATTTTTAGGGTAATTTTAAGCACACTTGGCAAAACTGTCCTTAGACAATTGTTAGATTTTGTAATGCAAGTAGGCATTTTGCAAACACTAAAAGATTTTCTTTCCAGACCTTAGCAAGGACTGGAAAATAAAAGCATCTGCAAAAATTTCCCTCTATAAATTGGCTGATTTCCTATGGTTCGGTTTTCATTGGTTTGGGAATTTCAGTTTTTTTAACCAAAATAATTCATGCCCATTACTAAGAATAACTCTGGTGTTACAATCTTGTTTGAAACAATAGTGACAGGACGGGCTTGGTGGCTCAGCCTGTAATCCCAGCGCTTTGGGAGGCAGAGGCGAGTGGATTGCCTGAGCCCACAGGTTCGAGACCTGCCCGGGCCACTTGGTGAGACCTCATCTCTATAATAAATGAAAAATTAGCCAGGCATGGTAGCGTGCCTATAGTTCCTGCTACTATAGGCTGCTGAGGCGGAAAGATCGCTGGAGCCCAGCAGGTCGAGGCTGTGGTGGCCGGGAGTGTGCCACTGCACTCCAGCCTGGGCCACGGAGTGAGACTCCAACTCAAATAATAATAGTAGTAATAAGAGACAATTTAATATGTTTTCCTCTGATAATTTAGAACTGATTTATTAACTTTTTTTTACATGTTATGCTCTGTTTCATATTCATTTTGAACAAGAGGCAGTGACAATTCTCTTTCATAACAAATTTCATTCTTTCTGAACATCCTAAAAGCAGTAGTGCTTTCTTTATGAATAATAATATGTAACATATTCAAACAGTTGCTAGACTAAAATCTTTCATATAAACTTTTACAAATCTCTGAACAATGACATGAGATATTGACATCATTGACGAAGCTGCTTTGTTGCAATCTTAAACCACATCAAGAAAATTCTGGAAATTTTATACTTAATAGAGTAAAAATGAGATGTGGTTATGAAAATAGAGTTTGGGATTTTAAAAAGACTAAACCAATATTATTACAAAACAACCAGCATTAAAATATGATAATAGGGAATCCAATTCTTTCATTATGTAATTACTCCCAGTAGAATAAGGCAGAAAAAAATATATAAAGAAACCTCTCAAATCAGCAATTCAGCATTTTGAAATTACAGGTGCAAACTTTATTACCATGAAGGATCAAATAAAAAAAAAATCTATATGGTAATTTACATTGTGTGATCTTTCTACTGGAAGCACCGAAAATTATGAACATTACTACTCTGGTTTTGTCTATAAAAGATTTCACTTGAAAACTTTAACTGCAAGATGCAAAACTCTTTTGTAAGAGTGTATTAAGTGTTAGCGCACGTGCGCGTGTGTGTGTTTGTGTGTGTGTGTGTGTGTGTGCAAAAGGCCAAATAATAAATATTTAGTTTTGGGCCACAGTCTCTATTGTAACTAAACTACTCAACTCTGCTACTATAGTAGGAAAGTAGCACTGACACCTATATAAACAAATGAGCTTGGTTGTATTTCAATAAAACTTTATTTACAAAAGCAGACAGTAGGTAAGATTTAGCCTGTGGGTCATAGTTTACCAGTTCCTGCTGTATACCATAACAATACATAAAGAAAATATTTCACAAGCTGTCAAGCCATTTAGCAGATAATAATAAATTTATTTTTAATCTTTATTTACCTTATCTTTCTTCTTTCTGGTCTTACGATTTTCAAATCTTCAGAACTACTCTTTGAGAACCTTACTCTCAGTACTAAAATGTTTCAATTCTGATCTTAATTACTGAAGACCAAACACCCGAAGTGTGTTATAAACAGAGTGACGGTAAGGCTAACTAAAGACCAAGGCCAGTGATCTATGTATGTACGCTGCCTGAAGTGTACTAGGTAGGAATTCAACAACTATTTGATGAGCAAATACATTATTTTGATATTATTTTCCCCTAGGGTATTGCACTTCAATAGCTAACCTCTGTCCCTTTTTATTATATTTTAAACCTCTCCTTCCCTAGCTTTTTATTTCCTGTAAGAGTGGCCAGATTTTATTTAGACTAAAACTAGCTTTTTAATGTCCTCAAATTATGAAAATATTCCTTACCCCAGCACACTATTCTTTTTATATACTTTAAAATTTTTTAATTAACAAATTATAATTATAGATATTTATGGGGTACATAGTGATGTTTCAATAGTATAATATATAATGATCAGATCAGGATAATTATTGCATCCAGCAACTCAAACGTTTATCATTTATTTGTGTTGAGAATACTCCATATCTTCCTTCTAGCTATTTGAAACTATATCATATATTGTCGTTAACTATAATCATTTTACAGTGGTATAGAACACTAACACTTATTCCTGCTATTTAGCTGTAATTTTTTATGTTTTAACAAATTTCTCACTATCACTCCCTTCTCCTCATCCTTCCCAGCTTTTGTGTCCTCTGCTCTACTTTTTATTTCTGTGAGACCAACTTATTTTAGCTTTCACATGAGTGAAAACATGTGGTATTTAACTTTCTGTTCTGGGCTTATTTTATGTAACATAATGTCCTCTAGTTTCATGTTGTCATCAATGATAGGATTTGGGTTTTTTTATGGCTGAATAATATTTCATCATGTATATATACCACATTTTCTTCATTCATTCATTTTGACACTTATGTTCTGTTCAATCTGGCAGGCACAGATGAAAGGCTAACCCTCAATTTTCACGTTTCCCCCTCATCTTTCCACTTTCTTGATCTCTTTCTTCTGCTGACTAGCATCTTAACTGACAGTATGCTCTCTGGTTGTCTCTCTCTTTCTGAACTTGTTGCTTCTCAGCTTCTACTTCTTCTTCCTTTACATTTTACAAGATTTTCTCCAAGGTGTATTCTTGATCCACATTTATTTTTTATTTGTACTTTCAGGTTCAGCAATTTTATCTACTCCAACAGCTTCAAATTTAGCTCCCCTCAATTAATTTCTAAACCTGTATTTTTAGACTTACTTTTCATGGTTTTGGACAAATATTTTTCATTACTGGCTGACTTCCCCAGAACCCACCCACTCCAAACTAGTCCATCACCTGTCTTCTAAAACCATCTATATTTTTCTATTCCTGAAAATGACACCTTTTAGTTACTCTCAGAATTGCAGTTTATTGTTTTGGACTTTTTTTCTCTTCTCCAACTCAGTTATCTAGTCATTCTGATTGAGTTTCCCTCTATGATGTTTTCCATAAATATATCCCCTACCACCTTTTCATTCTTACGGTTTCTTCCCTAATTTAGGACCCTGTCACCACCATAACAATATCTCTGTCTCTTCTTTTTGTTATCTTTCAAGTTTTGTAATTCTACTCATTCACTTACTACAGCCAAACTTATGTCAACATCTTGGTCAAATATTCTCTGACTCCTGTTTAATAGAAATTAAGTTAAATCTATTATGACATTTAAAGCTCTCCACAAAATCTGGCTTTGACTTATCATTCAACTTTCTCTTTTATGATAACCATTCAGAGAATCGTACCCTGGATTAGTCTCTATTATTGCAGAACAGTCTTCAATCCACTAATGCTGCACCTTCCTGTTACTGTTCTCTCTACATAAATGGTCTGTCTGAAGTCATGCTTTTTTATGGTCCAATGTTTGATATTTTATTCAAAAGAATAAAGTTTTATCTAAATGTACATAGCCCCCTTTCTCTCTCTCTCTTTCTTTCTTTCTGAATTCATCTAATTCTACATGTTGTTGCTTATCTGTGCCCATGATACTTTTTCTCTGGATGATAAATCTTACAATAAAGGGTGTCTTATTTATTTTTGCTCCACTGATATTAACTATTATATTATAGACATTTGATAATTGTGTTAAATCAATTAGAATTTATATCCTTTTCAAATGCAAACTATTAACTTCCAGGAAACAATGTCTTTAAAGGCTTTCATGAGCAGCAATGGTGTGGACAAACATGACTCATCAGAACAATCACTAAGCCTATGGTGGGCTGCATGCTAGACCACCTAAGCAATCAGTGAGAGAAAAGTAAAGAAAAATTCTGACATTAGAAGCTTACAATGTCAAAGACAAAAATAGTGTCTAAAAATTTTAAAATAGCCAGGGTAATTAAAATTACACTATTAAATTTACAACAAAAATTAGAGAAACAGGGACTCCCCTTTACCTTTATCTGGCCTTTCTCACATGGTTCACTGCACACAGATCTGATGACGTTGCTTTTCTTGGACCACACTTCATCATCATCCATTTTTAATTCTCCATTGTCCCAACTTCCAACATTGATGTAATCAAAATAATCTTTTCCCATTTCCTTGAAATTCATTATTTCATACCTTGAGATTAAAAATATAATAATTATTCAGCTAAGGACATAAATATTCCGCTATGAAAAGGCAATATATTTTATTCCCCCAAATTCATCTACTGTCATGTAAGTAACACTGGAATTTTCCATGACGGTATACTTTGAATAACAAAAATACCTGTCTGTTTCATTTTCTCTTCAAATACCATATTTTTGCTTTCAAGCTTACACCTGAAATAGAAAGTAATCTCATGAGAGAAGGTGACTTGACTTCAGCAGGATAAAAGACAGTTTTGAAATAGCTTCAAGAAGTTTAAACAAGTACTACTGTTACGCTTCTAAAAAATATAAGAAGTTTTTGTTTTTGTCTCCACTCAAGTAAAATTTTCATTAACTGGCCAAATAAGAAATTTGGGAAATCTTTAATCTTGTTTTCAGCTGTAGGGAATGTGAGGGCAATTGAGAGAGGGCCTGGTTTTACCTTTCTCATTTTCCCTTTATCCATGGTTAAATTCATTGTAACAAAAGCAATTTCAAGAGTGATGCTTTTAAAAAGCTTGTAAATAGTTAGCTTCTAAAGCACTTCATGCAATATAAAAATGCCAGAAGAGGGTAGGACCTGTGAGTTCTCAGTTTTTATTAACTATTCTTATTTTAATACGTGGATAGAAATGTAAAGAGGGAAAACCAATGTGCTTATTTACAAGCATCTTATATGAAAGAACATTTCCAGAGAAGCATCTCTGAAATAATTTTCCAGTCTGAGGACACTAGATGAACAATACCACCCCTGTGTCAGTTCCTACAGGTGTGTCTTTGGTACATAATGTCTTCACATAGGATTCTGTGTTTTGGATCCCAGACTTACAGTACTGGCAGATAGGCTCTTATGAATGCCTCCTCTAGGCTTCCATGCTCAGCATGTGTAACTATCTAAAAATTGATATGAACGGAAAACTTTCTAGCTTTTGAATTCGGTTGACCAGATTGTTATACTGAAACCAATGCTCTGTATAGAAATACTGAGAACTAAACTGGCATTAATCTATTGAAACTGATGTGGTAAAATGAAGCCATTGTGTATTCACTCCCAAACACATTTTCAGAATGTTAACTAATTCTTATGTTGGCAGTTCAGGAGTTTAAAGATTATCCCGCAATGTCGACAGTTAGTAATAATTTTGGTAACTGTCTAAATTTCACTTCTAAATGAATTTATAGGATACTTTCCTTTCCGTTGTCACAGGTATCTCATGGCTACTGGGCATGCAATGTGTTGAGATATTAGAACATAGAATACTGAAGTAAAAAGAAATCGTGTATAATGTCACTGGAAGTAAAAGAACTCATTTGGAACTCGTGTATTATACACAGGCTCTATGTCTTCAAAAGGTGGCTTTCTGTAAGCAATTAACCTCTGAAGATTGTAGGGTAGGAGAAAGAATTGTCAGTGCCAGGGGTTTCTTCCTTTACTGCTGATGATTTGCAAAGATATGAGGATTTCATTGCTCACTCAAAACTGAGCCATCAACTCCATTTCTACCAAATAATAACTCTGACAAAGTCTAGTCCAAAATATTAATTTTACAGATAACAGAGCTATAGCACAGTGAGGTTAATTAGTATGACCAGATAAGAGTATGCAGCATCAGAGCCAGGACCTAAATTAAGCCTCTAAATTTCAAGTCTGCTGTTCTTTCTTCTCCATTAGACTGCTCCCTGTCTACTGGGTTGAGCTAAGAGATCTATTTATTTTTTAGTTTTTTGCTTACACATTGTAAACATATGAGACATTTTACACTTTAAGTCTCTCATCACCATGTCTATTCCTCTTCTGTTTTATATACAAGAAATGCTGAAAAGTTAAGGGATCTAGTTTTTAAAAAACAAACATGGAAATTATAGAATGGGAAATGTCATATTTGTCAGGGAAATGATTTCAAGAAAAGTTAAACTTCAACTTTGGTTCAGCTCAATAAAACCTATTATAACTACATTAGAGACAATGAATCCTCCCTTTGGAATTAGCCTTTATATTTCTGGTCACTATTTCTTACTACAAAACAAACACAAAAGATATTATAATTTATGGTTATAGCTGTGAAAATGAAACATTGCTTTAAAAATCTTTGTTAGCAATAGCACTTAAGTATCAATTTTGCAAGCCTAGTTTCATTTTTTTTTCTTTTCATTCCTCACCTCCCATCCTCTCCTCCTCCATCCCTTTTCCCCTCCTCCTCTTCCTCTTCCTTATTATTTTCTCTCAGCCTTCCCCTTTCTTCCTCCTTCTCTTTTTCTCTCATTGTACCTCTTGGTTTCTACATTTCTCTGCTTCTGAAACTTTTTCTCATCACAGTGTGTTTTTATGTTTAATTTAGCTTCTTTAATTCTCTGCTACCCCAGTCTATACAACAAAGCAATTATAATGACCTTTGCCTTTGAGGTTGGATAATCACAAATTAAAAAATGACCACAGAGTTAGTTTAACCCAAAACATTACCAGCAACTAACAATGAAAACTTTTCCAACTATATACATTGAAAAATTTCAAATGTAATTAAAAAAATGGAAAAAAAAAACTTAGGTAAATTTTCTTTTGATGATTGTGCCTGAGTTGCATCTTGTCCTTATTCTGTTAATTAATTGACTATGTAACCTTGGGTATGTGTCTCTCTTCCTCTAAGATTCAGCTTATTCCCAGGAAAATCTGGACACTGAAGCAAATAATTTGTTCCTTTATGGTCCTTCTTTGAGCAGAGACATATACTAAGAATCTGTGTTGTACACACAAGATAATTATCTGCAATTTCTACTGTTCTAGTCTCATATTTTCTATTTACCTCATCTGTATTTGCTCTGCTGCTCTTTTCTGTCTTTTTTGAGTTAATCTTTATTTTTTTAATCCCTCTGTTGTTGGTGCCTTTTTTTTTTTTAACTATTCCTCTTTATATTACAATTTTAGTGGTTGCTGAAGGGATTACAATATACTTTCTTATCTTATTCTACTTAAAGTTAATGTTGAGTTACTTAATGTAAAATATAAGAAACTTGCCCCTGACAATTTCATATCTTTTTCCTTTTTTTTAGATTAAAAAATATAGTTTATTTAGAAAATAAATTTGAGAAAGAGGAGCTTCATCTCCCCAAAGTAGAGGAGGGGATCGACTAGAAAATATAGTTTATTTAGAAAGTAATTTGAGAGAGAAAGAGGAGATTCACCTCCCCAAGGCAGGGAAGGGAGTCAGAGCTAAAGAAACATGGCCACACCATAGCTTAGCAAGTATGTGGCCACAATGACCTGGCAATGGCTGCCTTTTTCCTTTATGCCATTGTTTTAAAATATTTTACATGTACATACTTAACTCAACAATGCAATGCTTTAATTTTTTACTTTATGCAGTCAGTTATCAGTCTGACATTGGCTGTCCATGTTTCCTCTGCCCAATTATGGTCAATCCCAGGCAGCAACCTGACATCTTAATCTTTAGATCTCTATTGAGTCTCTGAACCATGGGGTCAGTAAACTTTTGCTGTTAGGGGACATATAATAAATATTTTAGACTTTAAGATGGTCTCTACCTACTAATCTCTACCACTGTGGTGCAAAGACAGCCATAGCATCTAAATAAATGAGTGTAACTGTTCTCCAAATCACCTTACGTCCAAAACAAGCAGCAGACCTGATCTGGCCTGTAGACTCTAATTTTCCAACCCATGATCTAGAACCTTGATGGTAAAACAGTAAAGGTTCATATTTCTTTTCTGTAATTCTCAAATCCTCAGAGCTCTGAAAACCATAATTGTCTCTTAACACATTTTGCAACAAAATATGAGCTTACCTGAGCTGTCTAGTGACAAAAGTTGACCTGAACTATCATGAAGCTATTTGCAGTCCACTTATCACTGTTAGTGTGAATGTTTATATGTTTTGCTGCAGAACTATTCATGTGTTGATGAAGGGGTGTTGCTGCACAATATCCTGGAGGCATTATATGACCATATAAGCCTGTGTAAGTTCAAGAATTCTGGATTCTGTAATACCTGGCATCACAGTTTTCTTTAAAGTATTAGGACTGGGGCAAGCCCTTCGGGTCCCTTCCCACTGTAGGAGCTTTTCTGTCCTCTCAATAAATCCTGCTTTCCACAAAAAGAAAAAAGAAAATAATAATTAAGGACTGGATAGTATGACAGTAGTCTCATCAGATGAGAGGTTTAAAAACAATGATTAAAATGTCCTTGCCGACAACCTGCAAGTGCATGTGCCAGAGTGAGCTGTCATCTCTCAGCTTCTTCTGTTTAGGATCTTCCTTTTGTAGCTCTGGCATTTTAGGGCAAGCTCCAATCACCCCAGGCTCCTCTGATTCCTCACTCAGCCGGAATGTCTTTTATCTAGCAGAGCAATAACTTTTATTCCAGAAAAATAACAACCTAATTTCAAAAAAAAATTCTCAGAAAATATTGTTTTTTAAAATTTGATGCTGGCTGATTAATTGGAAGGTTGTGTATAAAGTTTGAAGTTGAAGCCCAGAAGACGAAGTTAGAATAGTGACCTTCTATCATTTACAAGACCGTGTCTTTGGGCAAGTCATTTAACTTTCTTAATTCTTGATTTATTCAGCTGGAAAAGAGAATGGTAATATTACTTACAATTAAAAATTCAAAAAGTAGAGCACTTAGCTTAGTATTTGGCTCAGAACACACACTCAATGCAATATATGTGTGTGTGTGTATATATATATATACACATACATATTATATATATATTTTTTGGCAAGTATTACTGGATTATTTGGAAAACCAAAAAGTTGAAAACCATCTTTTCCTGAGTCTTGCCCATGCCCTCAGAGTCCAACCCTGATAATTTATTAATGGGATAATGTAATACTCAAACTTAGTAGTACTTGGATAGACTCTAAAAAAACATGTTTTACCAGTAATTGTTTGCAAAATTTTATGTATATTGTTCTTGAAGAATATGAATTTTATCTGAATCTTAAATGGTTTTATGTTCCAAAAAAAGGTTAAGAACTAATGTCCTAAAAGTACCCCATTACAACATATTTAAAGGATTATGAATGAGGCAGAAATATTACACCTTATCCATTAGGATTCCCCACTGGAATAGAGCTGGACTATCTGAGACATTTCCTCACTCTCTTGTTTTTGGAATGTCTTGGGTATATGACTTGAAAGCTCTTGAACTGGTGGAGTTCCTATCATCAAAGTCTATCAGCAAGTCCCAGCTAATGTTAGTGCTCTAGAAATACACACAAGGATAATAAACCCATGTGCAGATATCAGAGCCTAGGCCTTGACCTGAGCCTAAATAAGTTCATTGGTCAAACTGCCCTAAAAAGATTTACAGTAAATGTGAATTTTTCTTTGGCCCTAAGAAAATGCTTGTTTTTTCTTTCATGGATTTACTGAACAGCCAAAAGAGTAAAAAACAAACAAACAACAATAACAACAACAACAAAAAAACAACAGCATGTGAAAAGTCATCTTATCTTGGAAAAAAATCTGACTGGAGCAATGTTCTTCAGTTCTCTAGACTAGAGAAAATATCAGTTTAGCTCAGCTGCATGACCTGAAACTAGCTACCATTTAGAAGTCCAGCACCTCAGATAGCAACAGCTGCATCTGTAACAAGCTCCAGCTCATCTCAAAATATAGAAATGCTCTAAACCAAGGTTGCTAATAAAATGTGTGGGCACTTGGAGTATGAGTTGTGGAAGGACTCATGAGATCTTTTCTTGGCAGAGTCAATTGTAAACTGAATATACAGACACCTCTCCAAGCATAGCTGTTAAGTATAAGCTGTCTCTGGAAGAGCACTTAGGTTTTACATTGGGAGACCAAAGGACCCTGGTTGTTCTGATGCAAGGCAGAATAAAGACAGCCATGCTATACTCAGAATATCATTTTAATGACATTCTTACTCATGATTAAAAGTCTCCATTGTAGAGTCACTTAAGAATTTAGAGTATGAGATAGATGTGAATTCTGGTAAGTTCTGAACAACTAGTAATACCTCTGGAGACCTATAGCTTTGAGTTTATATTTGTTAGACTCCCCTCTATAAATAATGAAAACTAAAATTTTAGAAAAAAGAACAATTTATGTCTCAAAAGGGGTGAAAGTATTCCAGCTGGAGAATAATACAATAACATTTGACTTATAACTCACTGTAGGTACAGCAAATAATATAATAGCACCACAGCCCTATTTCTAGATTACTAGAAATTGAACTATTTCTGTTTCAGAATCGTTTTATGACCCAACAAGATAACAGAGTATATGCAATAATATGACAAGCATGTGCAGAGAAATCACAGAGATGACTTTTGTTTATCTCTGATCATGTAGAGTCCTGTCTCTAAGTTAAGGTCTCTGAAGTGTGCTGAAGATTCCTAAAGCACATTGTGAACATCAACATCAGTGCTTTTCCCTGGCCACAGGAAAAGAGGCTTCACATGTCTGTCGTTGCTCACTTTGGAATGTCAAGGGTCTGTCGTTGCTCACTTTGGAATGTCAAGGCTAGTCAAACATGGCCAGAGAGCCTAGATAACCACAAAAGAGAGAAGCAGATGCCTCAGAATCTAGGATTGGCTCTACTGCCTAGAGAAAAATTGTAGCAATACCTTCCTGGAGAGTCTCCATTCTCATCAAATAGGATCATATCTCCAGAAACTCCAGTAAAATTGGTTTTCATCAGGGACTCCAAAAGTTTCCGTCCGTCAATTGGCTTCATTGCATCACAGAGTCCGGCATAGCCAGGGCAGAGTGACATCTGCATGTTGTGGAGTCCATAGGCCATGGAATAGATGGCATTGATCACAAATCCCATTTTGGAATCTTGAACATGATGTGTTCTCAGAGTCAGAGAACCTGTTGGGAAACAAATTAGTGATTAACTTTGAGATTTAATTCTACTGGAGTTACATCCATGGGTCCTGAATCATTAGAAAATGCACCAGGGCAGTTTTTATCAGAGTTAGAACTGAGGCAATACTAAGAAATGACGTTAACATAATATGTCTAATAATTATCTTCTGTAGTTAGGTTTTTCTTCCAAAACATTGAAGAAATATCTGAATCCCCAATAGTAGCAAGATTCAGTATTTTTTCCATAACCAAACTCTGGGGTTGAATATAGGATAGGGTTGTATTTCTGTACCACAAAATTTATCTTAAGGACAGATTAATTTCCCCATTGTCAGCTGTGATAACATGCCTTTTTGGTTCAGAAATCCTCAACAAATCTTCATTTTCCAAACTAGTAAGATCTCTTAGCTGAGAAAACTTACTCCTCCCCCATCAGGCATCAACTCACCTATTTGGATTTATCACCCACCACTTCCAATCTCAAAACATATACTCTCCACTAACTGACCTAAATGGAAGTTATGAAATATAACATAACATTTAAAGTCCATTTAATTTATTAATTAATTCAGTAAACATTTATTAGAGTCAGAGTATACATAAAGCTATGTGATTGATCATCAAGGAAAAAAACAGAGATGAATTGGACATGGAGTTTGCACTTTAGAACCTTGTCCAATAACAGAGATAAATTATGTAAATACAGTGAAAGGTAGAAGGTGATAAATCTGTAGCACATATGGAAGTAAAATCTATAGAGGCCCAAGGGATGGAGAGAGATCATTTCCAGTGGATGAACCTTGGGAACAACTCATTAAGGAACTAACATTTGTTATTAGTGATTGATTTGACAAATATGCGGTGAGTGCTTGTGAGTTCCAAATGCTCAGAACTTGCTCTGAATGAGAGACATTATATTGAACAAATAGAGATGACTCTTGCTTTCATTTATTCAGAGTCTAGAGGGTAGATGAGCTTCTACACAGGCAATTACAATGTGGTTTGAGAAATGCTGAGGCAGGGCTAAATGGTGAATTAGACTCAGAAGTTCCCTGAGTATTATGGCTGCAGCTCATGGGATGAAGAGTGGGAGAAGAGTGCTCCAAGTATATTTTCAGGGTTGTGGATGAGCATGGTATTTTTGGAAAACTTTAAGAAAGTCAGAACGATCAAAGCATGGAATAGGCAGTGGGGAAATGGGGAGATCTGAAATGGTAGAGGAAGGTGTAAATGCTTAAGACACACTTAAGATTTCTGAACTTCATCATAAAAGTATTGCAATTCACTGAAGTGTTTAAGCTGTGGGGAGCATGATCAGATTTCTATCTTAGGAAGACCAATCTGGATACATTGTGGAGAAAGGTTTAAAGGGCTGTAGAAGTAGAGTCAGAAAAACTCATTAAGAGGGGATGCAGTGATTTCAGTGACAGGTGAACATGTTTTTGCCTAGGGTATAAGCTGTAATTATGGATAAAAGTGTTTAGGAAGGAGACTCTACAAGTGACTACTGGTGACTGAAAAATGAAAAATGAAGAGTGTGGTAGTAAGGTAAAAGGAATAGCTGTGGGAAAGCTAGAGCTTGTCATTTTGGAAGAAAGCTTTTCATTTAGAGAGATTGAAGAAGGAGGAGGAGGAGGAGAGGCGGGGAAAGGAGGCAGTAAAGAAGGAGAAGGAGGAGGGAGAGGAGGAGGAGGAGGAGAAAAGAAAAAAAAAAACCCAACTCTCTAAAGATAGCATGGTGCTTTCTGACTGCCCATACTGTAGAGGCCTAATATTCCCTTCTTGATTGCTGGCCTGAATACTGACACCTTAACTTTCCCCTAATAGAGAGGCTCTCCTGGGAAGCCAGCATATTTTCATCTTGATATAAACATATAATGTGAAATCCTGCTTACATCTCAGGACAAGATACTTGTCCCTGGCCACTTTTAAGCTAAATCCTACAATTTTCTCTTCCACAGAGATGCTATTCATATTTCCACATTACACCTCACACTGCTGGACACTCCATTCTTCTAGTCAAATGCTTTGGACTCACTTTTGCCTTCTCTTTTTCCTTCCTACCTTCACAACCCTTATTTCATCTACCTTTACAATATACCCAGAATTAAATTCACACCAATCTGTTTCTACCAGACTCAATATATGAATCCTGACAGTTAATTTTGTGAATTTGCCACCATGCACTTACATTGGCAGCACTGTACAAACTTGGTAAGTTTTCATAACTTCAGTATATCAGTGTCTCACAGCTGTGTTTATGTCAACATGTGGTGGTGTCTTGCTGAGTGGCATTCATTACTGTTGTTGCATGTTTTTGTGTGCCGTTGTAAGAATGTCAGAGTTTGAATTAGGGCAATGAATAAACATTACATTCTTGTTAAACTTGGCAAGAGTGGAAGTGAAACCAGGGACATGTTAGTCCAAGTTTATGGGGATAATGCCATGAAGAAAATGAAATGGCAGTGTACAAATGGATCAAACATCTTTTTGAGGGGAGAGAGTCACTGATGAAGAGAGATCAGGATGACCAGTAACAAGCAGAACTGATGGAAACATTGCAAAATTCATCAAACTATGCATCAGAATCATCGACTGACTGTGAAAAGCATAGCAGACCAAATCAACATCAATAGAGAAATAGTTAGGAAAATCTTCACTGAAAATCTTGGCATGAGAAAGGTGTGTGCAAAATGGTCCTGAAGGAGCTCTTGCATCACGATAATGCACCTGCTCACACAGCACTATCTGTGAGGGAGTTTTTAGCCAGTAAACAAATAACTGTACTGCAACATCTTTTCTACTCACCTGATCTGGTTCACAATGAATTTTTTATTTACCAAAAATATAAGGGAAATATTGGAAGGGAGACATTTTGATGACATCCAGGACATCAAGGGTAATATGACCACAGCTCTGATGGCCACTCCAGAAAAGAGTTCCAAAATTGTTTTGACAGGTGGACTAGATACCGGCATCAGTGCATGGCTTCCTAAAGGAGTACTTCAAAGGTGACCATAGTGATATTCAGCAATGAGGTATGTAGCACTTTTTCTGGGATAAGCCCGTGAACTTAATTGTCAGACCTCGTATATTCTCCCTTGTCAGAATTACAGCAATAGTTTTCTAACTGGTATCCTACTTTCTACTTTTTCCCATTTTTCTCCAACTCCAGTCTATTTTCAACACAATAGCCAGAATAACTTCCTTAAATAGACGTCAGATGATGACATTCCTTTGACCAAACATCCCAGGGACTTTCATTATTACTGAAAGAAGCAGCCAAAGTTCTTGGAATGACCTTTGAAGACATAGGAGCTTGTCTCATGGCATTCCACCCCTTAAGCCCCTGATACCTTATCCTAGTGCTCTTCATTTAAATTATCCCAATCTAGGCATAATGGCCCTCTCCCTCATCCTCCAACATGCCAGACGTGTTCCTGCCTTGAGCCCATTGTACTTGCTGTTTCTTCTACCTGGAATGCTGTGTCTATAAGATCTGTGCAGAAAGGCTCTCCAGGTGGCCTTGGACTGACCAGGCTTTCCTCCCTTTCTCACTTGCAGCTCTCCACAACTGGAGAATATGCTGGAAATGTAGCATTTTGAGATAGAGAGAGACAGGTTAGAATAGTGTGGGCTCTGTTCAGTACCCATAGAACATAATGTCCTTCAATGCTTTACCACAGTGAATCATGTGACTCCAGGGTATAAAACCCAGGGCAAGCTTCTTCTCAGGGTCCCTCATCTGTGATGCAAGCATATTATGTGCAGTTGTGACCCCATTTACACTAGGCAGTTTTCTGATCCTTGGTGGACCAGTGCACAATGCATCCCAGGCTTTGGTTGTCCCATGTTGCCTATCTGAAAGTAATAAATCTACTCCATGTAACTTGCTGGGTATGTACAAGTTCTGTCTCAGCAATTCAGACAAGTTGGTAGCCAGTGCACAGTGCACCTGCCTCACCATCTGCAGAACTGGTTTCCTTCACAATTTATGCCTTTACTCAGGTATCCTTCTTTCTCTGAGATCTCTGGACATCTTGCCTAAATTGCATCTCAACCACTCCTCCCTGCACACACTTCCTATCTTCTTTCTTGACATTATTTTTTCCTTACCACCACCCAACATATTATATATGCATATCTTGTTTAATGTCTGTGTCAATGACTTACTGAAATTTAATGCCTATAAAGACAGAGATGTTTTGTTTTCTGTGCTCTATTCAGTGGCTAGAACAATGCCTGGCACATAGTGAATTCCCAATAAGTGTCTGTTGAATAAATTAAAGAACTGTCCTCTCTAACTAGACTATCCCTTTTATTTTATTTTAATCCCTAATCCTAAATTAACACTAATCCCAGCCATTATTTAGAGACTCCAAGAGCATTTCCTTCATGAAGACCACCATGATTGCAGATACTAAAATTAACTTGCTCTTTGAACTCCCTATCACTTTTTCTATACCTCTCTCTTAGACGCCCAGTACACCATATTAGAGAAAAGTGGACATATTTAGGGAAGCAGAGTTTCAAACAGCCTGTCCTCATGTCAGTCTTACATCTACTTTTCTCTATTTAATTTGCCAAATAGAGGAGTTACTCGATTGATTCTGTTACCAGAACACTGACTAGGCATTCAGGTAGTCTTTGAGGCCATAGTTAGGAACTTGATTTGACTCTAAGCTGTATTCTGCAGCTCAGCCTCCCAAACCCCCAGCATAGTTCACCAATAAGTACTTTCATAAGTATTCTGAAAAGTGGTCTCTTTATTTTTCCTCTTATGAATAGAGTATGGAGCTCTAAGTTCAAATCCTCATTGTGTCTTCTTACCTCTGTGACATGGACAAGTTACTTCAATTATCTAAGGCTCAGTTTCATCATCTGCTAAATAGTGAATCTTATCTTACAAAGGTGATGTGAAAGTTAAATGTTATACAAAAGTCATAAATATCTCACACAGAATCTGGCACAAGATGCTACATTAATAGTAACTGTATCAAAATATAAATCATAATAATCTTCAACCATTATATTTTGTGGTTAAGACTTAGGAGAATAAAAGCAAATGAAAACATCTTGGATCTACAAGGAACTCAAACGTGTTGAAAAGAAAAAAATAACCCCATTACAAAGTGGGCAAAAGATATGAACAGACACTTCTCAAAAGAAGACATACGAGTGGCCAACAGACACATGTAAAAATGTTCAACCTCACTAATCACCAAGGAGATGCAAATTAAAACTACACTGAGATACCACCTAACTCCAGTCAGAATGACCATTATCAATAACTCAAAAAATAACATGCTGGAGAGGATGTGGTGAAAAGGTAACACTTCTACACTGTTGGTGGGAGTGTAAACTAGTGCAGCCTCTGTGGAAATCAGTGTGGTGATTCCTAAAAGCTCTAAAAATCGACCATATGACCCCACAATCCCCCTACTGGGAATATACCCTGAAGAACTCAAATCACTCTATCAAAAAGATACCTGCACATGTATGTTTATCGCAGCATTGTTCACAATAGCAAGATCATGGAACCAACTATGCTGTCCATCAAAAGAGGACTGAATTTAAAAAATGTGGTACATATACACAATGGAATATTACACAGCCATAAAAAAGAACAAAATCATGAATTTTGCAGCAACCTGGATGGAATTGGAGTTTATAATACTGAGTGATCTCTCGCAGAAACAAAGATCTGAGTATCACATGTTCTCACTCATAAGTGGACCTGGAACAACTATCATAATATTATAAGAAAAAGGATTTACAGTGGCAGGAAACTATGGGGGGGCAGGGAGGGGAAGGGAGGTAGTATTAATGGTAGTCAGTATCTGTCTGGGGACAGGGGAGGGCACACCTCATCAACAAGGGTACCTGCACAATGCATATTTGTAAACCTAACCCTTAACTGTACCCCACAATTTTAAAATAAAAAATATGTTAAAAAAAGAAAGGTCTCACCTGATGTGATGCCCACAAGAGGCTTCAGACATTCACCATTCTGGTTTCTTTCCTGATTTTTCTTTATGCTTTGTCTACAATATACAGAAACTAGCACAAATGCAAATTTGATTTTTCTTCATTTGTAAATGAAATCACAATGTTTAGGGCATGGTTACTGTACTGTTCATTTAATTGAGTGGGGGTAGTAATGACTGTTTTCTTTTGTTTGGCACTTTTCAATAATATTTGCATGTGTCAGTACTATGTGCCTCAACACTGCAGGATTGAAATGCACAACAGAAATTGGTATCCACACCACAGAGATAAAGAAATGGAGGTTCTTTATCTCTAAGAAGATTTATCTCTCAGGTTAAGTAGATTTTCCAAGGTCACACATTTAGTAAAAAGTGAACATGAACTTCTAATGTTAAGCAAGGCTAAGGATGTTGCTATACTGTATTGTTATTCTCTGGAAAGAAGGAATCCCTGAGCAATATTGCTGTATCACCTTTTAAAAAATTATTCCAATAAGAGATAACATTGGGGAAAACAAACTGGTAGCAAGATTTCATTTTTGCTAGATAGTTCTTGTCTCTAGTCTCTCAATGTCTGTTAGACCGCCCAAGACCTGCCAAGGTAGGTACAGAAGGGACTGACCATAAGAAAGAGTTATTTGTTGTTATTGGGCATCTGGGAATAACTGTCCTAATTGGACAACATTAGGGTTTTGTAGACATGCCTGGTTATTTACCCTTGTATCCCAAAGATCCGAATGACTGTAAGTTCCAAACCCTCACCCTCTCAAATACCATAAGAAAACAAATGGAATTTTACTTTTTGATATTTCTCCTTACATCATTTTGATATGCATGTATTTCTTTCAGAAAGATGTTTTAATCTGTTTTAACATCCATGAGGCATCATGGATAAATTCAGATAAATTCAAGTTTGAATTCTGCCTGTACCATTTTACCTCCTTTCTAACCCTCTTCCTTAATCAGACAAAGATGCTTTTGGCTTTGGTTTCACCTTCTTCAGGTAGCAAGAAATCTCTGTTGAAATGTGTGCTGATAAAATAAGTACTTTACAAAGTGCTTTAATCTCATAAAACGCAATGAGCTAGGAACTATCTCCACTATAGATGAAGAGACTAAGGAAATCAAGGTTACTGTCAATAACTGGCAAGATTAACTTTTCTTGAGGGGGCAGAACAGGGGTGGTTGGTATCCACATTTAAAAGAGACACTTGCTAATACACTAACCTCCTTATTTATAAATGTGGGGACGATATTGGTGAATTAAGGAATTCTCTTGCCTCTAATTCTTTAGCCTTATTTCCCTGTCATTCCCTCCCTAACTGCATATATATCTGAAGGGGTGAATCTGCAAGATGGCATTTCACTTTGTGATAGAGAGTGCATCTCAACTATTAAGAACAGCAGAGCCTAAAGAACAAGATCATGGATTCCGGAAGTGGATAGGAGGTTAGAATCCAAATTATGTCATTTTCTAGCCCTTCATGGTACTAGCAAGTTAATTAACCACTCTGTGCCTGAATGGAAAATAAAAAGGTTTTAGCTTCAGGTTTTACGTTTAGGTCTTTGATCCAATTAGAGCTGATTTTTGTGTATGGCTATAGGTAGGGGGGTCTTGTTTGGTCTTGTTTTAATCGTTTGCATGTAGTCAGCCACTCTTCCCAGCACCATTTACTGAATAGATTCTCCCCTCCCCAGTGGTTGATTGTGGAGGTTTGGTCAAAGATGAGTTGGTTGAGAAACTGAAGTTTTGCTTCTGGAATCTCTATCATGTTCCATCGGTCTATATGCCTGTTCTTGCACCAATACCAGGTTGTGTTGATTATTGTAGCTTTATAATAAAGGTTGAAATCTGGGAGCGTGATGCCTTCCGCTTTTTTTTTTTTTTAACTGAGAATTGTTTTGACTATTCATGTTCTTTTATGTTTCCATATGAATTTCTGTATTGTCATACAGGTCTGAAAAGAATGCTGCTGGTAATTTAATGGGTATGGGGTTAAACCTGTAGCTTGCCTTGGGTAGGAAGGATATCTTAACAATGCTAACTCTTTCAATCCATGAGTATGGAATATTTTTCCATTTGTTTGTGTGATCTTAGATTTCTTGAGCAGTGTTTTGTAGTTTTTGTTGTGAGTATCTTTGACTTCTCTGGTTAGGAAGATGTCAAGGTATTTCTTTTCCTTTTCTTGTGTATGTCTATTATGAATGGGATTGTGCTTTTTATTTGGGTTTCTGTTTGTTTATTGTTGGTGTGTAGGAATGTGACTGAGCTTTGCACATTTATTTTATATCCTGAGACTTTGCCAAAGTTCTTTATCAGTGAAAAAAAGTTTTTGACAGATTCTCTTGGGATTTTGAGGTATAGGATCATGTTTTCTGCAAAGAGGAATAACAACTTCCTCTTTTCCTATTTGGATACCCCTGATTTCCTTCTCTTGTCTGATTGCTCTAGCTAGGACTTCCTTAAAAAATGCCAGAGATACCCTTATGGAAATTGGAACTGGCAACCAATTCCTGATCAAAACCCCAAGTGCCCATGCCATAAGAGATAAGATAGACAAATGGGACCTTATCAAACTGATAAGCATCTGCAAAGCCAATCAAACCACTGAGAGAGCAAGGAGACAGCCCACAGACTGGGAAAAAATATTTTCCAACTGTACATCTGACAAAGGCCTTGCATCTAGGATCTACAAGGAACTCAAAATGCCAAAAAGAAAAAAAAAAAGCAGCTCCATTATAAAGTGCGTGAAATATATGAATAGACACTTCTGAAAAGAAGACATGCAAGTGGCCAACAGATACATGAAAAAAATGCTCAGCCTCACTAGTCATCAAAGAAATGCAAATTAAAACCACACTGAGGTACCACCTAACTCCAGTCAGGATGGCCATCATCAATAACTCAAAAAACAGATGCTGGAGAGAATGCTGTGAAAAGGGAACACTTCTACATTGTTGGTGGGAATATAAACTAGTACAGCCTCGGTGGAAAACAGTGTAGTGATGTCTAAAAGAACTAAAAATTGACCTCCCATATAACACCGCAATCCTCCTACTGGGAATATACCCAGAGGAACTCAAATCACTCTATGAAAAATATACCTGCACATGCATGTTTAATGCAACTTTATTTACAATAGCAAAAACATGGAACCAACCATGCTGTCCATTGAAAGAGGACTAGATTTTTTAAAAATATGGTACATATAGATGATGGAATATTATGCAGTCATAAAGTAGGACAAAATTATGAACTTCATAGGAATTTGGATAGAGTTAGAGGCTATAATACTGAGTGATCTATCTCAGAAGCAAAGAACCAAGCATCACATGTTCTCACTTTTAAGCGGAACTTGAACAACTATCATTGTACTATAAGAAAGGGGGTGACAGTAGTGGGAAACTGCTGGGGGTGGGTGGGGTGGGTGTAGGATTGGCAGTAGTGGGAAACTGCCGGGGGAGGGCAAGGGCAGGAGTGGCAGTAGTGAGAAACTGCCGGGAGGGGGGACACCTCATCAACAAGAGTATCTACATAATGAACATGTGTATACCTAACCCTGAATTGTATCCCACATAATTAAAATAAAATTTTTTTAAAGGTTTTAAAGATGATATTTGACTAATAGATTTAGAAGAGTTTAAATGAGTATTTACTAACAAAGCATTTGATAAAATATATTGATTTATGTTGCCTGGAACCTGACCCAAGTTCTGTAACTAATGCTTCCATTTATTTTTCCACACAGAGTAAAAAGATCTGGGAGAAGTATGTTGCTAGAGGCATTAGCAAGTGCAAATGTGTTAGAGTGTACTTTCAAGGAATAGAAGGAAGGCTGAAACTTAGTGAGTTCTTAGTGGAGAGAAGTAGGCTATGAGGTAAGAGAGTCAGGCAGAAGCTAGATAATGTAGGGCTTTGGAGTGTTTTTATCATATAAATATTAGGATATGTTTTTCATTTAAAATTTTTTCCTTTGCTGCATGGAAAATGAAATGGGAGTGGGAAAACGTGGAAAATATAGGGAATACTGTCATAGAATGCTGAAACGTGATGGTGCATCATCCAGAGTAGGATTCTGAGTACATTTTGAAAGCAGAGGGAATAGGATGTGTGAAAGGATTGAATGTGGAGTATTAGGGAAAATGAAGAATCAACGATGGGTTCAAATTTCAGTTTAAGCAAGTGGACGGATTACAGTGCCATTAATTGAGATGTGAGAAACAGGTTGGTGGGAACAGTGCTGTTGGACCTGTTAAACAGGGAGATAAATTAGTTGACCAAGCTACAAACCAGGCAACAGATATCCGTGGCTTTGTTTAGGTGTCAGCAGTAGAGATGGTGGAAATTGTCCAGATTCAAGACCTGTTTTGAAAATAGGACCAACAGGCAGCTGTTGGATCTGTCTCAGATGCCAGACTATGTTAGTTTCTGCTACCCTTTTAAAAATGATTTCTAAAGTTTTATATTTAGTCATCTTGTAATTATATACACTTTCTAACACTTCAAATACTGTATATGGGAAGACCTCCTAATACTAATACAGTGCTGGTGATTGTTTTTGGTGTGGTACAAATATGGACTCAATTTTTATAACAACCCAATGAGGTATTGTACTATATGAGGGAATTGGGCTTAGAGAGATGAACTAATTTATAGTGTCTCAAAGCTAATAAATGGCAGAATCTGGATTTAAAACTAAGCAGTGTGGCACCAGAGTTCATGCCTGTAAGCAGGATACTTTACAGCCTCTGAAACCTAAATCCAACTGAACTCCCAGACATTTCCTGAAGTATATTAACCTTAACATCTAATAGAATACTAAATTTATCTTATAGCTTTTTCATTTGAGATACCCTCTTGCATCCCCCGTATCCATTTGTTTTCTTCCAGCCTCAATTCTACCATCTTAATTCAGTTTCTCAGAATTTCTTAATTATTTAAGTGTCTGTATGTTTATGTGTCTGAGTGCAGTATTAAAATCAAAAGGATAAAAAATTATAAAATGAAAAATTCTATCTTCTGCCACCAGTCACTTAATGTTTCTTACCTGGAGCAA